TGCCAACCTGTACAGTAGGCGTCACAAGTCTACGCTAGTACATATCTCTACCTCCTGACTGCAAGAGACTAGTCTCAAGTTCTAGACTGCTAGGCAACCATCCCCCACGAAGTAGGTTGTACGGATGCATGTTAGGCTACATCAGGATGAAGAAACCAGAGGCGGAGAGCCTGTTCTGCGGGTGGCACCGCACAGTTTTCATCCATGCAGTTAACCAGTCACCAAAATGTCCCAGATAAGCGGCCTTGGCCACGCTGTTTGATGGGAGCAGCGCAGGCCGTGCTCAATCCCACAGAGCCAGCTCTGCCCACCAGTCAGTGCTCAAGTTGTCGCCCTAGTCCTGGCCAGTTTAACGGCACACCCAGTTTCAACAACCACGCATACAGGATGCCTGCAAGTAGGCGGCTGTTTAAAGGGCTAATCATGGGCTTCAGAAGCAGCAATGGCCTTAATCTGTGTGCTTTTATAGACTCACGTGGCTTCAAGTCAGGCAAACACTTTTCAACTCCAGTTTCCTCCTAGCTACGGATGATACTGATCTGCCTTCTTCGCAGGACTATTATTATGTGAAGTAGTATTACTAGGAAGATATGTAAAGCAATCTAAAAATACTGTATCAACTACGTGCTATCACTCATTGCAACACAGATTTACAGACCCCTCCAATATAGTTGCACATTTCAAACCACAGATTTTTCTCACTCCCAAATGCCTTTTACAAAAATGAATTTGTCTCTATGAGGTCAGAAAATTAAACAGGACAGAAGAGAGAGGAACAGTGAAGTCTAAGCACTGAACCACAGTTCAGGAAACCCTTCCCAATATTCAGTCCTCTCTCAAAGGGGCAGTAAGCAATTTTTAGCCCTCAGCCTCCCACCCATAAATAATGACAGATCTGGGGACAGAATCTGTCTTCAGGTGTGTGAATGTCCAGTATCCTGCACTTGTGCGATCTGTTGTCTTTCAGAACCATGTATTAAAGAAATGTCGTATAGAAACAGGAGCAAAAAGGCAGGCTTTACTAACCCAAACCATTCTCAATAACTTCTCATTTGTAACAACACAGGTACGCACAAAAAGGCTATTGCCGAGTCTGATGAATACAAGTCTCAGTATTTAAGCACAATCACGGGATTCTGCATATGTCCTTTAGGGCAGATTAATTAGAACGAATTGCCAGTTAGCAACTGAAAATTAATTTTCTCTGTTAATGCTTTTGCTCTGCAATAGTAATTTTGAATATTAATGCTTTTCATTTTTATGCTTCATGCATGCTGCCCAAGTGCTGATACATACTCCACATAGACAGCAGAGTAGAAATTCTACTCCTTAGACACTATTTGGGTCCATTGATACAAGGGTCAAACTTGCTACGTCAGACTGCATCACTTTCAGAAATTGCATTTGCTTGTGTTTAAATGGTAGAAGATATAAAATGAAAAAATACACATCTTTGTTGTCCTAATCACATATCCTATTTTCCCTTTCATGAGTCCATTAATACATATTATTCATTAATGCATGCCATAAATTCTCGCCTTCTAGTTAAAATGACGACCCGAGAAATGTACTTCTGAAGTTAATTTTATCACATTTTTTATTAAACATTTTTCTCAGTTTATACTTTGAACATAAATACCCAAGTTTTATGGCTCATGTTATAAAAGACGCTACTATGTGTTAGAAAACTTAAACAGAATATATCGTAGTGGTTATATGTGCTTCTCTTTTCCAATATTTTCCATATCTTCTATTAATCTAGAAAAGCGGTATCAGAAAGCAAAATCCAGCCTGCCTAGCAGCACAGTCTACAACAGCTATATTTGCCCGCTGCAAGAGAAACTTTGGTTCCTGCCTGTTTTCACAGTAAGGCAATACCAGTTAGCTGTGTATCAGAAAACAAACATTGCACCCTGTGCTCAGTTAGTTACTAAAAATCTAGTTCGTGGCAATGAGTATTTTTAAAGACAGACATACAGCTTCTCTTTCGCTTTACAGCTTAGTAAGTAAGATAAATAGGTACGTATTTTCAAAACAGTTGAATGTAAATCAAGTTCTGTTCTTACCGAAGTCACTGGCAAAACTCAGATGTACTTTCAGAAGAGCAGGTTTTATTGATAAAACTGAAGAGAATTACATATCAGCTGGGATACAGGATGACTTCCACTTTACCACTCTCATGCACTACTGCTAGCAGACCCTGTAATAATGCCATGCATGGGCTTCCAGTTGACTGCGTGGTGGACTCTGCTTACTGCTCCTAGTGATGAAGATCCCCAAGAAAGCAGACGTGGTCCTTCAGTCTCAAAGGCACGGACGTCGAATCCCATGCCCAAGGAGCATGCAGAATAAAACCTGTCGTCCTTTCACTGCAGTGTAGCAAAGGGATACTAGAGTATACATGCTTTATACACAGACGAATCTTTTAACTTGTTTTTCAATATACATACATTAAACTGTACAATGTCGTACTTCCACAAAGTGGGCAAAGAGCAGCTCCCAGAGCCATAGCTACGGAAGAGCGTAGAAAATGCAACTGACCTCGATCCGTCGAGGCCAGGGAGAAGGGGAAAAGTTTGGGAAAGTGTTGCCGGCTGCCTGGCTTAGAGGCACTTTGCCTTTTTTTTTTTTTTTGCACCAGGGCTCGTGCCAACACTAAGCCCACGCCAGCACTGACAACACCCAACTAAAGCTGCAAGCTATGCAGCACGAGACACAGAATAAAAGCACAGAACAGAAATGAAGACCCTAAGCCTACAATCCCAACTGCAACAAGCGTCCTTCATGACTCACTGAAGTCCGTGCTATTATGGCTCAAGAATCCTGTTTCGATCAGGGTGTAGGTTGTGGGCAAAACCTCAGAAGAGAAACTGGGGTGCGTATCTGATTTTTGAAATGCCTATTTTGGTGCCACCTAGCAGGCCAAGACTGACTGCACGGTCATTCCCTCTGTCCTGCGCACTTGCTGTCAGGTGGCAGGGAAGAGCTGACATCACTCCAGTGCTCTGCCAAACTTGGCAAGTCAGCCCATGCACCGATTTTGGGGTCACCTTGACAGGTTTGCCTTTTAGAGCAATGAAAATGAAACAGAATGAAAATTTGAGAGATACACAAATCTGCTACAAAACAAAGGAAATTACTTTCAGCAACACTTTTAAAAAAACCCTACTGCTATTTTGAAAAACCCAAACCCCCCCGTATCTCATACCTAACAAAATAATTCAGTCTCTAGTACTGTTTACCTTGAAGTGTCATGTGCTGGGAAACGTACGTTGTAATGATGGCTGATGTTGACTTAAACTACGCTGACCGAAACAAAACATGGTGGGATCAAGGAGTTTGTATTAGAAGAAGCAGAAATAATTTCAGGGCAAGCCACCTCCTACTGGGATAGTAACAGTACCAAAGTAGCCAAAAGTTTTCCTTTATTCTAGTCAACGCATACGTCTGTCAAACGTTCTGCTATGGATATATTTAATTTGTGTTTTACTGAACCGATGGACAGTATTAGAGTTCTTAACATATTCAACTGAAACGTAATCGTCCTAATTTCTCTGTATCTTTCAGTCTGTTGACAAGGGAAAAGGATGTTCCTAGTGGCTCCATTCAACATGTTACCTGTATTAAAGATATTTTGACTGAAGGATGTGTCTCATCACCATTTTTGGCAATGTCTTTCTGAGCTGAAGGCTTTGTCTTATGTTTCACATGTGTAGACACCAGCACAAAAAGCCATTTCAGTAGGAATCCCAAGTTCAAACTTTCTTTTGGAAATACATTGATTAATTAAGGAATGACAAATAGGTCTCTGCTTAGAATTCCGCCCTCTAACACTACCCAAGCAACCGCTTGCCCAACTGAGTGAATGAAGCTCTGCACGCTATTTTCACAATACCCACTTACACGACCACGCTTTGCTGAAACTCTGGGTGAAGAGAGGTGACCGTCACTCAGCCATACCTCTGCTGTTGGGCTGTGACGTTATTTGATTGATGTTTGCCTGAGGATGTAGCACAGATCAGTTGATGCAGGATCTATGCCCACAGTGATTGCCTGCACTTCCTATAGATATTTCTGTATTAGCCTATATTTCCCCAATTATGGATTTAATTAATAATTTCATTATTAATTTACTGGATGTGCAGGCCTCCTTAGAAACGGCATAGTCCATCTCTAGCTTTGATAGGGAGCTGCCGGGGGACAATGTGTCAGCAGCACTGCAATGCACAGCTGTCCTGTATCTGCACTTTCTATTTGCCCCAACCCACAGCATCCTTAGAACTCTCTCACGACCATGAGCCACATACACAGTGCACCTACCACGAAAATTAATGCGCTTTTTGTACTGCAACAGTTTTAATAATACTGAGCATTAGAAATAATAATAATTAAAAAAAATAATCTATTTTCTATGTTGAAATAAACAAATACCAATCAATTAATGTAACTGCTTTTGTCCAGACCACACTCTGGCTTGTGGAATGATGTTACAAACTATTAGAGTAATTATCAAATTAATATTAGGTTGCATTAGACTATTTATTGTTTAAAAATATTTGCTAATTTGTTAAAATCTACAGTCCATGCGATATGTCACTTTGGAAAAAGAAACAACAGCTGATTTACATAAGCAAAAACCAGCATGAGACATGGCATGTGTTCCTTGCCTTCCCTAAGTGCTATAGAACATAATTATGATATTTATAAATGTGAATATAAATAAGGTAGAGATTCTAAAACCATTTAAAAGTGTCTAAGAGATCCTTTTTGTTCTAAGTATCAAGGACAGCATCAATGGCTAGACATTTTCCAACACCCTAACACTGCAGAATGTTCTAAGTATGTGAAGACTGTCTTGCAAACCTTGATCCTGTGATCAAAGCCTACTGAAATCGCTCCCAGGTGTATAAAGTCTATCCATTTGGGTCCTAAGCTGGCACTTGCTGCAAATGGATATCAGACTCCTTTTAATAGCAGAAAATATCTTGGATTTAGTTCAGTTATATATTTAATAGTGGGATTTCCCAGACCATCACTGAAGACACTAGTTCATCTTGTCGCTGCTGCTTGGTCTTCTTGTTCACTCTTCTGTGTCCCTGGCCACCAGAAATGACTAATACTGAACTTGCTTTCATTTTCTTTGATCTCTGTCTTTTACTTTTTAATGAGATATTTTGATCCTTCAAAAGCTCGTAAATGTTACTGTCCTCTGGCCTATGTTCTAGGGAACTCGATCCATGAGACAAAGTAAGCGATCCAGAAGAGGACGACAAGTCGCTTTTCTGTGCAATGGATCCTACTGAACCCCCCAGCCAAACTGCAGTGTCATGGGTGTTACTAAGGGAAGAGCCTGGTCTCTCGTTGGGCAGAACATTCTTTTGGTCGTCGTCTTTAGGTTCGGAGCCAGGCGGCGGGCTGTTCTTCAGTTTGTTTCTGTTCTTCTTATTTATAGACGTAGCCATTACAAGAAACTTGACTGGGCCATGGTGTGCGTGATACGACACCATTCCTCTTCCTGGAGCCAAAAGAAAAAGACAGTTAAAGAACATTATTTATTTATCACAGTGTTGCACCATAATTAGTTCACAAAATTTGCTCTGAAAAGCATAACCGTTAAAACCCTATTACATGCATCCAGTCTGTCTTTCGCCTTGTGGGTACACAATTTACAGAAAAAACCGTACAAGACAAAAACGTATTGTACCACCAGTGTTTTAGGACTGTACTAATAAATCAGCTGAAACACGGCACTATGAATTTTAGTTGACTTACTGTTGAGTTCTGTTCTCACAACCGCACGAGTACAGAAATGCTGGTAACTTCTTTTTGTTGGCATTGACACAAATGCGACACCGTGAGTTTTCTCCAGTAATTCACAACCAAAATGTGTGGTTTTCAATTAATCCTATTGTACCTCTGTACCTCACCAGAACAGCGTAAGAACATCTGTTTCCTTGTAACAGAACCCCCTACACTATAAAGCAGGAACTAAAACTCATCCTTCTGGCTGGTTGTCTAGCTGCCATGGTAGATTCACGAGGAAATGACTGAACAATTATTATTTTTTTTCTTTTTTTTTTTTTTTTAAAGTATTTGAACAGTGGGATGTTGGTGGTATAAGGAAGATTTACACTGTGCACATAATTAGAACATAGGAAAAACAAACTGAATGTGGCCAAATTCAGCAGCTGTAACAGTATCAGTATTTGCGGCTTTTACTACAAAAAAGAAGGAAAAAAAAATGGATTCCACAAAATCAGCTACAGTATGGAAAAGAGCTAGGCTATCAAGGGGAAAAGTCCACATCCCTGTAAATCACTCTGTCCATCCCTAACTCCCTAATGCCTTCCAGGTTATAATAAAACATACTCTGTTTTTACAGAAAGTGCCACGATATAAAGATGAATTATCGCTATTGGAAGCACAACTGCAAAGAGTCACAATTTTTTAGTTCAAATTCCAAATATGGTATCAAAGACTATAAAAATAGATCTCTAAATGTAAAGTTGCTGGATCTGTGAAATCTGACAAATCTTGACCCAAAATAAATGCAAGAATATACAGATGACACACAATAATAATCAAAACAGAAAATGGAAGAATAAAATGAGAGGTTTTTTGATTCTGCAACTATGCATTTTCTTGTACTGCATTTATTTTCATCTAACATAGGTTCCATATTTTTAAGAAACACGTATCCTGTGTCATACTGGATTATTGCTGCGTATTTTGGTGAACACAGAGGATTTCGTTTTCATTTTGCAAAGTTACATAAGCTTTTTTTTTTTTTTTTTTTCCCCTGAAAGAAGCTGCAAACAGCTTGCCTCATAAAATCTGCCGGCTTCCCTCCACAGCGCAGAAGCTCAAGCAGAATTCTGAACCCAAAATGTAGCATGGCAAAGCCCCTACTAAACACACTTCTAAAATCTTGCTTCTGACGGAAGATTAAACATTTGCAAAGTGATACAGCAGCATTCAGGCATTTGTATTTCAAATGGGGTGATATGAAAGTAACCCAATAAATGCATCTCTCCAAAACGCAAACACCTTGACCATTATAAAAAAAATGAAATATATACTCTATACATTCCAAGTCTCCTGTTTGAGGAGAAAGGACACAAAACCAATTTACTGAATAACCAGTCAGACCACATACTAGATTTTCAGTACCTATGTCTCTAAACCTAATGCATCTATCTTCCCCAAATCTGGAAGAAAGATGGTTTGCATTCTCTTCTCATCCCCCACAGTATTTAATGGCACTCTGACAGGATTAATGCTTATCCTATTCTTATGCCCTAAGGAAAAACAGTTGTCCCAGCTCAAACGACCGAGACAAAACTAAGGAGTATCTGGATATACTGTAAAGCTCAGGAAGAACAACAAATATTATTTCATCACAAAGTGCTAATGTATATCTAAACTATACATATAATTTGGCAGGTTCACCTTAAGCTATGGACAGAAGATAAATGAAATCGCCAGTATAAAACCTTTGTACTCAATCCGTTTGAGAAATCTCACTCACCAGTTACTTTGGGAATCCCCTGCAAGCGCGGCACTGGTAATGCTACGATTATACCCAGGTTTGTTCCAACCAGCAATAAACCATGGCACACCAGGAGGCTGGTCACAGAAACACACTGCTGCCCTGCAAAGTTTAGGAAGTGCGCCGTTACTTGAGAGTGAAGAGCTTTGCCCAGACCAAAGTAACTTCAGGCAAACACAGTCAGCTGTACCGTCTCATTCAGCAAAGCACTCATCACAAAGACAAACATTTGGCTGGATTGTGGTATTAAACTTTACATACATGACAATGTAAATACTACTAAACTTCTGAAACATTCAGTCCTAAATCTCTAAGCCACAGTATCTGAAAGTAGACATGGATTGTCTGTACAAATATGCTTTACGAATGGACTATGTTTATATATTCTCAATAATAAAACTGAAAGGCATTTCACTTCACAGTACTCAATAATATACTGCCATAACACACTATATGTATCTTGACACTATAGTCAAGACACAAACCTGTTCACAATCACTTTTTTCTCCCAGTTTTTATTTTGGGAAACTATCGGAAGTGCTGTGTCCCCCTGTTTGAGTGTGGGTCCCCTCATACAGGAGTGGCATTGGCATATTGGAACAAGTCCAGTGGAAGGCGACCAAGATGATCAGGAGACTGGAGCACACAGTGCACACAGAGAAGTTAAAAGTAGTGCTGTCTGCACCCATCCGACAGGAGGGTGCACAGAAGCCAGAGTCAGACTCTATTCAGATGTGCACAGTGACAGGATACGACACAATGGATCAAATTTGGAACATGGGAAATCTGGACTGTAAGTAGGACTTCTTCATCGTAAGGGTGGTCAAACACTGCACCAGGCTGCTCAGAGAAGTTGTGGAATGTCCATCCTACTCAAAGATATTTAAAAATAACAAGATGACCTCCAGAGTAATTGCCAATCAAAATTATTCTATGATTCTATGGTTTTCTACAACATATTATTTATGGGATTAACATTTTTCCAATAAAAAATGAGTAATTTTTGCTTGTAACGCTTACTAAATACGTTTGATTCAGTTTAGGTGGATTTTCAAAACAGCCTTGACAAGTTTCAGAAAGGGAAGCTACAGCCTGTCCAAACTTTTGCCACGGCCCAAGTACATGTGGAGGAGCATTTAAACACTCTTGGAATCCTCCAGGCTCAAAACCTACACGTGCTTGGATTTATGATTAACTTTACATGCAAGACAGCAGCCATTCCCATCTTCATCACAGCTCAAGTTGTTAATCACTTCATCAGTAAGTAAGGAATTTGGATTCCACCTCTGATATAACTTGGATGAACCCCCATGCTCCACACTTTGGAAAAGGACGTTAATTACAGCGTATCACAAGTGAATGCGTTTTCCATCTCGCCCCTTGAAGCTGAGCCAATCTACATCCAAGAATATATGAATCACGGACCCAGTGGGAAAGCAGGGAAGGAGCAGCTTGACTGCAGCCCAAAGCACTCAACTGGAAAGCAGGAGGCAGACCACAGTTCAAGTCTTTCCTCACAGAACTTCACAAAAACAAAGTATTAACCCAGCAATGGTGTGTCATAAAAGGCACATATATGGCCAGATCTGGAATTCCAGCTCTGGATACCCAAAGCCACACTCTAAAATACCCTAAAGGCATGATGATTAGGTCACTCTCAGCAGGTCTAACAAGCACAAGTAAGTTGAAGAGGCTCCATCTGCTCATATAGACCTTCACACCTATGCTGTCTTCCATAAACTGTAGGTGTTTACACTGGTAGGATTGCATCATCCCTCTTCAGCTAGATAAGCATGGATGGTCTATGACTACAGATAAATTACAAGCCTTTTGAAGCTTGGTGTTTGCGTTTTTGATTTTTGTTTTTGGTTGGTTGGCTTGGTTTTGGTGTTTGTTTTGGGTTTTTTTTTTTAATGTTAATGGGATTAATTTAGTTTCCAAAACAAAGCACACAAAGGCGGTCCTTCAGCACAGAAGTTCAAACAGTGATGGCCAAACACCCCTGTGTATTGGAGTTTTCAAAAATCAGTATTTGAATTCTGTGATTTATAGCTCACCTTGCTCAAGCTATGTGTGACACGCAAGTCCTCTCCCACTCTGGTGCCACAGCAAGTGCAAGGCAACTGCGGGTTCACTTAACCTCACTCCATTTCACTTAAAGCTTGTTTTATAAACTACAAACAGAAATACTTAACTACAATTTTTAAAGTTTTAAAATTATCAAAAACTCCAATTGTATTTTTGCCTCTCAAACTCCTTGCAGAAGCAAGATGCTCACATTTTTAAACAACAGATTTTTTTTTTTTTTAAGTGTTTAAAATGTAAAATAATATGCATGATTTCATACTGCACCCCTGAAGCAGCTTCTAACCAGTAATTTTTACCAGGGAAAACGAGCAATATGCAGTACTGCTTCCACAGGTGAAAACTGCAAATTATCAGCCAGCAACTTAGAATCTTGCACACTGAGCACAACCTTAAGTGTGAACCGTACAGTGAGGTCAAAAGGAAAACCACTCGCTTTGAAATCTCGGAAAAGCAGGAAACATCTGCATCTGAAAATATACTTTGAAACAGCATATAACAACTAAAAAAATTATATATAGATTTAAACCCCCCTATTCAAATACTAAGTTAAAAATATTAATTTGTTATCTCCTAGCCAAGATTTGAAACCATACTTTTCTTTGTTATTTTGTGACTTTTTTATTTTGATGTATTTCAAATTCAGAGGAAAAAAAAGTAGTAAAACCAATTCTCCAGAATGCGCTGTGCAGGAAGCCCAGAATTTAACAAGAAGGGAAAAGGATAAACATAAATGCCAAAACCAATCAAATACTCTTATCTTTAAGTGACAACTTTTGGATCGCACTATCTCAATGCAGACAGAACTGTTAAAACCTGTAAAATAATCTGACCAAGGTCTTGGCTTTACAAAGAACTGAAGCCAACGATTAAGCTCATACATGGACATACGGTTTAACTGCCTATGTTTTGCTCCATGTTCACCTTTCTCGGGTCTCAATTCCAACAACCACCAGACCTGGATAAATCCTCATGCGTTCCCACACAGATCTTCTGAAGTCAACCCTAGGGAGGTGCAAGGGCGCACTGGTGCATATCCTCTTACATGACCACGCTGCTCTTACTATGTAAAAAACAAGCCCACTGTACAGATCTGTTGAGCTGACCTAAAGTTTTTCCCAATCTTTTTATCGTTTTCCAGCAGTAAAATCATAAACCAACTGCATTTTATGGTCTGGCACCTGGTGGGGTGGGGACGAAAAAGCTGTAAGCTTCAAGCGCAGTTTGTTTTCCGCAGAGGGGAAATGATACTTTTTTCTTCTTTTCTTTTCCCATCTGTTTCCAGGAAACACACATGCCACTAGAGGATATATGGATATAAACAGAATATAGCAACTTAAGCAGAAATCACCTCTCTGTTAAACAGGTAACCTGCCATCGTCCTTATGAGCAATGCAATTACATGTATCAAGGTCACAGCAATCTCTTTAAAAGGACAAACTCTTTTAGAGCTGAAAGGAAAAACATGTTTAAGGATGTTCTTGAATAATGGAATACTGAATGTGACTATGAAAAAAAGAAGTGGACTGTCTATTCATGTACAGCATGTTGGTAGGGTTTTTTTGGCGTGAGCTGTGGCAAAGGCTGGTGAAAAGCTGCCTTGGTTGAGATTTCAACTACAGACCACAAACGCTAAGCGTAACTTTGCTCTACAAATGGAGTACGTTGCACTAGTGAAGTGTGTAGGTTCGTCTTCAATGTTAATAGATTTTTTTTTTTTTTCCCTGCTGCTCACAATGCCCTCTGGTCAGCTAACAGAGCTGTCCTTGGGCCACTTAAAAGCAATCCAGCTGTAAGCTGGTTTACTAGATAGTGAAACAGTTACCTGGACTTGTAACAATGATGATGCTCTTCCTCTCAACTATTCTCGTCCTTTCTCTTATGGCATTTGTGCTTTTTTGGCGTTCTGTTCCAGAACACAAGCTTGTTACATATTGATAGGAAGCATTTCTGACGATAGATGAAGTAAACGTACTGCGGGCTGCTCTGGACTCAATGTCTATCCCACGGTTGCCTCTGTGACCCTGGTTTAATTTCCAGCCCTGCATTCCTACACTCAAACTTCCCAAAACTCCAGAAATCAGGAAGCCTCCCAGCTCCATTCTTCACAATTAGACTGCCACAGATTTTAAAAAGTTACGTCCAGCAGATAAAAGATTCTGCCAGACACAGTCTGCTTTTTCACATTACTAAACTTTGTCAAATCATACGGACAATTGCCTCCTGTGCCACTTCAGAGTAACCATTCCTGACAGTGACAGTAAATTTTTCTTTTAGTTCTACTGTCTAACAACAAAATAATTTCATTAATTTCATGGACTGACATTCCTCTCACTCACATTGCTTTAAATGAAGACATAGATGACATCTCCAGGTAGCCTATCAGGCTAATATTACATATTATTGTCCTTACTAAAGTCTTGGCAAAAGAAGTCCAGCTTCTTCAAAGTTATGTCGAGATCTTGCCTTTTTAATCTCTCTTAAAACTCTTAGGAATACTTTTACGCCAATTTCTTCTCTCTCATTTCAACAGCAGTTGAATTTTTACTTATCTTTTATTTTTGCATATTAAGGAACTCCTGTTGGATTTCAGAAAACTAACAGAGCTGTTTCCTAGAAAAAGTCCTAGAAATCCTCAGGAGAGGCAAATACATATTGTGTAAATATGCAGCTATTTCTCTCCTTTTCAGTTTGTTTTGTTTTGTTTTGTTTTTTTTCTTTTTTAATCTCAATATATACTACACAGAGCTTGACTTATTCTTTGCCTGCTTTTAGTTCCAAAGGTCCTTACTGCTGCTTTATTATGTAAAACTCCTACTCCTCTGTCTTTTAGCCTTTGTTGTTGCAGCGTTATTGGGATCACACAAACATGCCCAAGAGCTGCTGCTAAATAATTGAAATTCATTTCATTTTTAGAATGGATTCTCCCTTGGAACATTTGCTATAATAATGTTCTACGCCTGAAATAAATTTCCATTTCCATTCACTGGCGTGCTTTTCGTGAAAACACTGAGAAATAAAAAAAGGAACTAAAATGGATAAGAATGACACTGATGAGATATAATTAGCTAAAACTCTTTTACAAAAAATATTGTTACATCAGCAGTTTTATTACCATGGCAATGAACACTAAAGCTAAACTTCTGAAGATTTTATTATGCAGAAAATACGTATAAGGGAGGCCCTACTTCCCTTTTCTCCCCTGCTATGAACAGCAGAACATATTAAAAGTTGATCTTCCTTTTACAACTGATCTTAATTTCTTTGCACAACTGTCATGAATTCAGTCAAATGACGTATTTAAAGGCAGGCGATTTGCTGCTGTTCTGCTTTGGAAATACAAACACCACATGTGAAAAACACCCTGTCTAGAACATGATACAAATGGACACAATTTAACATAGGGCTTTATTGCAAACCTAAAGTCATTTGAAAGAAAGCAGGGTAAGACGACAGAGACCGAAGAAGTGAAACATTTTTTATGCAAGATTTATACCTAACTCTTGTAAGACTACAAATATAATCTCAGCACGGGAAGAACTGGCTTCTGCCAGAAATGAAGCAATAAAGCTGGTGCACACATTGCCCATAAAAACTGCAGGAGCTCAGTCTGTTGTACTCTGTAAGCAGGGAGAGAGACAGAAGGAACGGCTGTCCCCTCATGGACACTTTGTGCTCGGCCATGGCAGCATCACTTTTCTGTCCGTCTCTCCTCCTCGTGCTGCCACAGCTCCCACCTCATGCGCTTGCTGATGCTCAGGTGCTAGCCGCTCGCTTGCAGAACTGATAGAGGCCAGTGTAACTGTCTGTGACACTGATGATTGGGGGATGACTGAACAGCTTCTGTCTTAAAACACTTAAAGATCTGTTAAACTTTATCCTGACAACCACAGATTCCATCTTTATTTATAAGACTAACCTTTTAATTCAACAAATTAAAGCTCCAATCAGCAAAACACTGAACACGCTCCGAAATGGCAGCATGTGGGTGGTTCAACTGAGTTCACTGGGACTACTGATCACAGAATCAGAGCGTCATTAGATTGGAAGAGACCTCTAAGATCAGCAAGTCCAACTGCTGACTTAATACCACCGTGCCCACTAAACCATGTCTAGAAGCACTACATCGACACATTTTTTGAACACCTCCAGGGATGGTGACTCTGACTTCCCTGGGCAGCCTGTTCCAATGTCTAACCAACCTCCCCTGGCACAACTTGAGGCCATTTCCTCTTGTCCTGTCACTTGTTACTTGGGAGAAGAGACCAACACCCACCTCACTACAACCTCCTCTCAGGTAGTTGTAGAGAGCAATAAGGTGTCCCCTCAGCCTCCTCTTCCCCAGACTAAACAGCCCCAGTTCCTTCATCTGCTCCTCATAAGACCTGTTCTCCAGGCCCTTCACCAGCTTCGTTGCCCTTCTCTGGACATGCTCCAGCACCTCAATGTCTTTCTTGTAGTGAGGGCCCCAAAACTGCACACGGTATTCGAGGTGCGGCCTCACCAGTGCCGAGTACAGGGGCACAATCACCTCCCTAAATGATGTAACTAAACTTAAGCAAGTAGGTTTTTGCTCTGGATCCTAGATAAATTGACTCCATAATGTACTTTGATACTAAGTTCCAGAAGCAAATGCTAAGCTCTGCAAAATAAACACATTTTCATGGCAGACTGCATCGTCCTACTGCTTCACAGTCACGTTAAAAAAAAAAAAAAAAAGACTAAACAGAAGAGTCCACCTGCTTATCCATATAACTACATTTATAATCTCTAAGGAGGAAAGCTGCTACTCAACTAGCTCACTGCACACATTGTTCTTCCGGGCAGGCGGCAGACTGTGATTTACTAAAGCAAACAGTCACAAGACGGTTATCAGACTAAGTCCAAGATGGACCTTCTGATTCTGACCTAATCTACAACACTCCGGAGAACGATGGCGATAAAGACAAAACAAAAATGTTATCAGACAATGTGAGTCAGCTACCTGGCAACATATTGTGAATTGGTGTGGCAATGTTAATATCCTGGAGGTGTTTCAGTGTCTCGGTGTGAAACAGGCGAAGCGTAGATCCAGATGTGAAGGCAATCCAGATTCCCACTCCAGCAACAGCCATGTGAGAGATCACCATCCCTTCCTCTTGGTGGGCTTCAAAATGGCTCTGTAAGAAAAACAAGGACTCTGTGGGGAGATGCCACTGAACAACATCACTGAACCTTCCGTATCAGCTCTTCAGTGTAGGCACTGTATCTGTACAGTCAAGGACAAAGCTGGCTTCCTCTGCTTTGCTCAGGATATGTTCTGACTGCTGCGTATGATGTGCTAATTTTCCTGTCACTTTTTCTCGAGAGTACATCATCATTAGTATGGAAGGATTCTCAGCTCTTGAGCCAAAATTCTACCTAATGATAGAATAACTTCACAGTAACTTAGATATTGTATTTATTAAAAATAGTGCATGGTAAGGGCTGGCAAGCCCGTAACAGTTCAGACTTAAAAGGATTTTGTATTTCTTTACTGATACTCCTTTGGGAAAACTACCACAGATGAGGTTTCTGGGAGTGGGCAGAATTTTTCCTAACATGTTTTTATCTACAGCAGAACTCCTCTTTAAACAATAAAAAAATATTTTTCTTCTGTTCTGTTAGGGGGTCTTTTCAGAACACGGATAACAGAATCAAAGAAAAAGTAATCTTTAGAAAGTAGAGTGTTTATGAATACAAATACACAATTATTTGCTCAGCTATGTACATAACAATGTAAGCCTTAATACTGTGGCTTGCTTTTCGACTCATAGGCACTTCTGAATTTCACAAATATTAGCTATTTTGTTTTCCTGTCCCTCGAAATACTGATGCTTCTCATTAGAAAGGCCAAAATCCTCCTTCTGAAGGTAAGTAATGCAAGACTTTGAGGATAGACCTTTTTCCTTGATCCAGTGCCTTCACAGTTACAACTCCTGCATGGCTCCATGAAGGCCAAAACCTCTCTACAGGCCCCTGTTAACATGCAAGATAAAGCTGTAGCAAAGTTCTTTAATCATTAACAAGAAGTAGGGATATTTTTTTTTCCAGTTTTGTCTTGTAAGTGAACTGTCTCTGAAGTTAAACACAGCCTTTTAATGTTGTGCCAGCTATTATCAAATACAGACAGCTATTCTGATAAACATAAAACTTGGCTAAATAAGTGACAAACTGTTCCTTGGATACAAATCTCTGAGGGATATGGAAGTAAATACCTGCTCTAATATTCACACTATGTATTATATACTATTAATTATATTTGCAGATGAAATGCAAAAGTATTCCCTTCCTCCTTGTAGAAGTACACTTAAATTTTCCATGCATTACAAGTTACATGTTGGTCACTGCATCAAAATCTAAATTACATGTTTCTTAGGATAACCTCTTAGCCTAAGACAGTTATGTTTTGTATACATTAGGGTTATAGATACATTGTTCAAATTCGCCATCTAAATTCAACACACAAACTAAGATCAGAGATAAACAACAGAAGTTTAAGCTTGCACAAACTGTAACTTTTGATATTATAAGCTTTCATACTTTATTACCCCACTTTCCACTGAGAAACTGGCTGTTTGAAAGTAAGGGGAATGATTGGTTTTTTCCCTTTTAATTTGTTAACACTATTCTTCAAATGTTCACTTTTTAGTAAATGAACAGAGAAGTTTCTTTTCAGCTGTTGGGGAGTGGTTCAGTTTTTGAGTTTTACTATATTACCTTTTGACTCTTTGAATAACAACACTGGAGAATGCAAGGTAAGCACCTCTGGCATGCACATTTATTTTCACTGTTTTCCTCAAGTAACTCCATTCATTCTTTACCCAACGATATATGCAATTTGAAAATCATACAATTTATTCAACAGAAGAATTCATCCACAAACATCTTTCAAAGTCAGAAACAGTTCTTATGACTAAATTTCCTGATGTTCTCATCATGCATGTTTCATTGAAAAAAGGATTTTAAAACAGTTATTCCCGTTTACGAACTCATACATCCCTACAGCAATGACCAATAAAACTTCTCAGGGACAGATCCAAGGTGACCAAAGTGAACCTGACCAGCAACTTGCACTGCTTGAGAGTAGAAGAAAAATAAAGCAGATCAAAAGAAATGAATTTTCTCTGTAGTAGTCTGACCACAGCTGATAATTCTGTTGGTGCCACTGTAAACAACTTGCACATGCATTTTTGTCACATTCCGTTTTTACCAGCCAACTCATTATACTCCCACTTAGTCCGACCTGCCATTTGTACAGCTGTCTGCTGAAACACATAGACACATTTAAAGTAAAACTGTAGCACTGTCAACCCACAAGAAGTATGTAAAAAGAACTGTTCTTCTCATTCAAAGGGTCTTCTAACATAGAACAGGAACATACCCTAAGCCTCTATGGTCTTTTACAAACACAGAAGTTTTTGTGTAAAGGATAGCTTTGACATCTGTTTCAACTACATCTATCTGAAAGTCATTAGCTGGCATTTTTCTTCAATTTTTTTTTCTTCTTATAACAAGAAATACGGATAAAAAGGAACAAAAACCATCTTAATCCCTTTGTTATCGAGAAAATTGAACCTCATTTTACTTTTCTCTTTTAGTTTTCATACCTACATTCCTCTCTACTCAGAGCCCAGCTTTCTCCCCTCAGGCTCTCTCATTCAAACTCTATAGCAACACGAGAGCTGCAGAAGACACTCTGGATGCTCCAGCCTGCCTGCACAGCAGCGCAGCCCGACACAGCTCACCATTGTTCCAGCAGCGCGCGGCATAGCCGGAGTCTTTCTTTTGAGGGAGCGCTCACTTGCACCAAACAGCTGTGCCAAGAACTGAACTACGATTTCTCAAGCTTCATGAGAGATGCATAATGGGTATCATTGTCCACAAGGTAAAACAAATGACTTTTACTACTTTAAAGAAGTAACAGCACTCAGGCAGAATACAGTCACGTATGGGGATTTTCATTTGTTTTGTTTATTCAGCTGAACATTTCAGAGTAACTTGCGTATAGCTAGCCAAGTTTTAAAAACAAGACAAGACAAACCAGGATGGAATGCCATTCAGTTGGTGACTTCATTCTGTTAAATGCTCACATTTGTTCTTGCTTTTAAACAGATACTGCCTTTGCAGAGCGTAAGGGTCTATAGGCACAGAGAGCATCATGGGATCAAGGTCTATCCCCAACAGCAATACAACCGTCAGATCTAGGGTCAAGACTAAGGACAAATGTCTTCTCCATGGAAAGAGTATCAGAGTATGTAACTAATATATAACAGCAATTGATGCATTTCTCACGTGTCCCTTGTCAAGAAGCTTCAGGCATTGTGCCCATCTGAGGCACTGTGACAATAAAAGACATTTCCTAAAACATTCTATTACAGTAACATATCCTTAAAACAAGGGAATTGAGGGTCTTACCTGTATCGGAGGGGAAAAAAGGCAGGAAAGGTGGAAAACTTCCAAACCCAATATATAGGATACCAAATCTGCTCATTCACTAATAGTTATTAAAAAAAAGCTTAAATAAGAATCTTAGAAAAGCAAGGAGACACGGCATGAGATTTTTTCAAAGATAATACACTTTGCACTTAGCAAATGCACAGACAGTTAAACATGAGGTGCCTGTGAAGCAGTGGGTGCCTCACAAGGACAAAGTTTACAAAATGCTCTTGAATATGCTCAGGGGCTTGCACAAATACGGCCTTAAGAACTAGTCAAGTGCCTTTATAGACAACGTGTATGACACCGAGCATATAATACATATGTGTGATAGTAGAAAGCAATGAACAAACAAGCAGCTGTAATTTGACGTATATAGAGCTATAAAGGGAGTTCAGCAAAGAGGCAAGAATAACAGGACCTTTGCACCACCTGGATCCCTGTTGAGGGAGCAAAGATGAATATGATGCAAAAGATCTTGCGTCAAATCATTACTACTAACTCTCCGCAGGAGAAAGCACAGAGGGAGAACAAACATTTCCTTGCTGCTGTTTCCCCTCATACAGCAACGCTTCTGCTCTGCACAGTAACAAAGAGGAAGCTCAGATGTATTCAGCTGCTGATATTGTCAAAATATTCCCTATAGACAGAGTCTAAACTGCCTCACATATAAAATAATATTGAAACAATATTGCCAATGAACATGGTATGGACATCAGAGCATATCACTTCTGGAAATATAAACTCGGGAAGTTACCAAAACAAGTCAGGTAACTGAGCAGGTAACAAAAGTGAAAACATAAGTGAGCTGTTCATAGTCTGGTGAGATGATGGAAACAAGATCAGTAGTTGCCTATAGGTTAAGACCAGTGAAGAGGCAACAGAAAATCATCACTTGTTCACCATTCTACAAGGAAGATGATATGCTATGGTATGGATATTTGTGTGGAATAAAAAAGATGACCCTCAGCCAGTCATACAAAAAAATCATCACATTCTTCCATAAAATTGTGTCAAGAAAACATTATTGAACCCATACGCACCATTTCCAGTTGTACCACTTCTTATATGTTGTTTGCTGCAGCACTGCCTGTATATTAATTATAGCTATAAAGTCAGTGGATCTATAATACTCTGAGCTCTGAATACAATGGACGGGTTAGTTTACAGAGCACTCTGGAAATGAAAAGAAACCTCCTGTGATGGTTTTGTAGGAAAATTTGTAGCAATAGCTGAAAAATGAAACTACCATGTCTGAGAGATATTGATAAAATGTTATTTTATGTCTCTGAACTTCTGTTTTCAATACTACAATCCATTAAGCTACATTGTATTTTGATAGAGGAAGCTTTATATATTCTTTAATCCTTAAAGCTTGTCTAACTCCAGTTTTGTTCTCTTGTGCCTAAACAGCACAGCATAGCCCACACTGCAGCCATACCACCTGACCTAGGAAGACCTTTGTGACAGAACTAGGCCAGAATTACCAAACATATTTACAGAGACCTGTATGTAACCAACCTCACCCAGGAACAATCTGGCTATGATCTCTCACTATTGCTTTGTATTTCTTGGTGAGAATCAGAGATTCATCATCAAAGTCTGTAGGACAGTAACCAGGTGTCCCAGAGGCTACCCTGGCCCCCCAGTGAAGTTAACCAAAGTCCATTTCAAGCACCTATCCAAACCACTCTTCCAGATCTTTCCCTCATCATATCATTCAAACTAACAACAAAACAAGCCTTAATAAAGAAAAACACAGTAGGAAAACATATATTCCGAGCATCTACTTGGACGAAACAAATCATCCAGAAAGCACAGATAAAGACAGAGGAAATTAGGATGTTAGCTATTTCCCTGCAAACCCATGACAATGACTCACAGAATCAATTGTACCAAATACACGATTGTTGGGAGAAAACACGATCATCAATGAAACAAAAAAGCAGCAACAAAGCACACAAAGAAGGAGGCTGTGAGCTCATCACGACTCCTGTTTGAAAGAACTTCACGGCTGTAAACATCATGAAACTCAGTGTAACTGTATTGTAGGCTGAAGGAGAGGCTTAATTCCTGACATTTCATCAACTAAATTTTAGACCACTAAAACATTCTTTTGGTGGAGGCTGCAATTTTGACAGAAATGAGGGCTTAATGCTTTCTGGAAAATGTGGTCACAACTAGAGCTTGATTCCTTAACACTCTTCTCTCCTTCCAGAAAAGCTGACTTTTGTATGATTTTTCATTAGAAAACGTCCTTACACAAAGCAAGTTTTTGTAGGCCACCGAGAAGCAAAAATGTGAAGAAATGTATTACGAAATCATCACAACGTCCAAGTAACATCTAACTATGTAGAGGCAGTCTCTTAATTAAATCCTCTTCTGGAATTAACAGGCAATTCCTATAGGCACACACTTCTTTGCTGCCTTTCCTCAGATCTTATTTTTAAGCAGACCTCTTGCCTCAAATACTCTATGACTTTCAAGAACCTTGTGGAAACCTGGGGGAATTCGGAAACAAACCTAGGTCTAATGAGACATCAGCAGAGAACATAACATCACGGCTGAATTTCAAACCGTAGGGCGTGGGATTTAATAAACTGAAACGATATTTCATTAAAAGCTTCCTGAATGAACCTTCTTAAACAGATTTTAATGTTTAAAATTCCACCATTTATACCCTGTAGCATACTGTGTGAGCAATGCTTTTAAAAGTGCTTACCTCTATGGAATGTGTCACAGTGCTGATTATAAAAATTTGTCCACCACATGCAGCCCAAATGGTCTCCTCCATCACAAGCAGACTTCTGACAGGCAGAACTCCCAGTTTAACTATCTTCTGAGGTTCTGTGTTCCACGTCCCATCTTCAACAAAAAAGAAGAAAAAAGGTTATAACAACAAAACGATAATCTTTGTTTTAAGACAGTTTTGAAAATACTGTCTCTCAAGCCTGCTGCTCAAATCTCTGCAAGTTGCCACTTCAAGCTACACTGTGACTTACACGTTTAATTTTAGCTTCCAGGGTAAGTTTGTATGGGTAATACAACATTAAGGGGAAAACCCAAAACCAAACACTCATATATTTGTTAATTGAACAGATTTGATCTGGATTAATTGATAAACAAGGAAACCCACATAGCCGTTCTAGTACAACTGCTTTTCTTTCCAAAGGAAATACAGTCAGAAAGCCATGGCTGACAATTTTCTCCAGCTCAGGAGGAGCTCACAACTGACCTATTTCAAGATGAATCAACTTCCAACGAGGACAGAATCATCTTTCATGTGAAAAGTAGTCATCAAGATTTTTACTGTAGGTTCCAATGAGCTGAGAAGACTCTCTAAAAGCATGTTGATGGAATGGACTTCCTGCTACCCGATGCTTCATTTAAGAAATTTTTTTTTTTTAAAAAAAAAGAAATGAAAACTTAATTTTGTGCTATATCTTCACTTTTCCTATTTTTTCCCCAACTCTAATCCATAGTGTTTTCTGCGGACTGCATTTAGCAGAACCAAATTACTTCATGCACATGTATGTGGCACAATCAATTATTCAGAGACCTTCTGATAAAAACTGCATGCTGCCACTTTGGTCACTCTCCCTTGCCATCTCTTTGAATCAAGGATTAGCGGATTATTTCTCTCCAAATTTAAGAGCTAGCAGCATGGGCTTATTGAAATAGTTTTATTTCTGTCTTTTATACACACAAGTTGACATACTAAATAAATCAATAATAATTTTAATACTATTATAGTAGTTTATTTCTGTTGTAAGCACTCCTTGAACATAGTCTCAAAGACTGCATTTCTATCCATTAAGCTTCAGTAATAATATCAAAAATCTGTCAAAATCTGTTTTTACACTGAGATAAAATATGTCAAAAAGGCCCTATTTCCTCACTTTAAAGCCTTCTTCATATCATAGAATCATAGAACAGTTTGGGTTGGAAGGGACCTCAAAGATCACCTAGTTCCAACCCCCCTGCCATGGGCAGGGACACCTCCCACTAGACCAGGTTGCTCCCAGCCC